GCCATTGATCTGCTTATTCTCACAGCAGAACCACAAGGTTTGAATGATTGTGATCATAGAATCTTGCTTAATATTGGACAGCGTTACACACACACAGTCCTCACTTTATTTTCCCTCATTTTCTGACTTGTTCTGCTGGTATTGTTAGTTTTTCCAGATAAAGTTTGCAATGATTTTATCATTTTGCTTAAAAAAAACCCCAAAACAAAAAAACAACCGAGTGGACTTTTGTTCTACTGTCTGTTATTAGAAACTCCTTTAGGATCAGCCCACTGCCTTTGAAATAGCTCCCCGTCGTTTGTCTTCTTTCCCTCCTCTCAGATGAGTTTGTCCTTCCCTTCCATCAGGCAGATGGCAGGCATTCCTCCAAATCCTATTCTCCTGGGCCAGTGTCCATTCTGTGGCCCTGGGGACCCGGAGGGCTGTTTATCTTCCCTACTCCTAGCGGTAGGTCACCAGGAGGCGGGAGGGACTTTTGAAGAACAGAGCTGGTCTCTAAAAATTACAAAGGGGGTTTGGTTTCTTCCTATAGAAAATGAGAATAAGAAGTCAGGTCTGGAAGTGTCCCAGCAGAAGGAAGGGAGGAAGGGGCCTGGAGCAGCAGGGCCCCACCTGGGTGCAAACAGATGCAACAAAGGCCAGCTCACCCCAGGTGCCCTGGCGCCAGGCCCTGCGGGATCAGATAGTTGCCATCGCCCTGCTAGCATGGTCCTGCTTACGTTGCTTGGCCTGCCTGCCCTGCCCTGCCTGGGAGCTTTAAGGCCACAAAATCGAAGCTGTTTCCTCGCACGGGCGAGCACAATGACTGTGGGCAGTGGGAGTCATTGTTAGGAGCTGATGATTTTACGTAGGAGGGAACAGAAGCCGTGGGAGGAGCCCCGAGCCTGGTTCTGCTGTTCTGTGGTGAATTTCGGGGACTCGCACCTAGGGCCCCGCAGAGCCAGGGTGCTTCCTGGCTCAGCACCGCTCCTCGCGGTCCCGCCACAGGCTTCCCCAGCTCTGGCCACCGCTGCTTTGTCAGGAGCAGCCCCTGCCCTGCCCAGGAGAACGGATGGACAAGAGCAGGGTCTTTGTGTTCCTCCCCCAACCTGCCAACACCTGGAACAGGTGGGGTCAGTGGATGTCTGTGGGGTAACTGACGGAATCTATCCAGCTCACGTTGGGGAAGCACTGCCCACAGGCCTGCGAGAAGCCGTGGGGACTCAAGAGTGACCAGACAGACATGGGCTCCACTCCCTCGGACCTGGCATTGCAGGGAAAGGGGATCCATTCATCTGCTTGCTGCTTGCTGGCTGCCTCTCAACGCCTTCGACAGGGCCTGACACTGGGCCTTCCAAAAATGTAGGTTGACAGAGGAGAGGAGACGAGACTGGGGCAATAACAGAGAAACGAGGGGAGGCCTCTTTCAGTGATCCTTCTGGGCTCTGGATTCTGGCCTCCAGGTCCTGAGCCACATTCTAGGCCCTGGGCTCCATGTCCTTGGTACTAAGTTCTGGGTTCTGAGCTCCAAGCTCTAGGTTGTGGATTTGGGGGTCCACACTCAGGGTCCCGGGCTCCATGTTCTTAGATCTGGATTCTGAGGTCCAGATTCTGAGTCCCAGGCTCAGAGTTCTTGGATGTACATTCTAGATTCTGAGCTCCAGGCTCTAAATTCTGGATTTGCGGGTACGGGCTCTGTGCTCTGGTTCCTGAGTTCTGGGGTACAGATTGTAGACTCAAAGCTCTGGACTCCATGTTTTGGCTCTGGGCTCTGGATTTTGGGCCAGGCAAGTGGGACGGTTTGCCGGAGGCCAGGTAGAGTCATTACTGTCTTTTCTACCTAGAATGTAAGTTCCTCTGGAGCAGGAATTCTTGCTTGTCTTGTTCACTGGTGCAGCCCCACACCTAGAGCAATGCCTGGTGTAGAGGAGGTGTTTGACAGACACACACACATGCACACTTGAATGCATGATCACACAGACACACGATCCTGCAGTGATGAGCTGCCACAGGAGAGCAGGACCATCCCTGCCCTTGCCGTGGCCACGGGTGTCAGGAGGGGAGGCCACAATGCTGTCAGCTGGGGAAGGGGTGGAAGCGAGTTGCTGAGGAGGACTGAGAGGGCCCGGGCCACTCTGCGTTCAGACGGGCAGGGAAGTGCCCACCCAGCTATGCACTTGGGTTGGTTCCTATCTGCTCTAGGTTTCTCTTCTACAGGGAAAGGACGTGGTTGGGGTAGTGGTGGCATACTAGAGACAGAGGTGTCCTGAGTCAGAGTCCCAGAAATGCTCACCTCACTCTATCTTGATGGGCTGGGGCATCTGCGACTTAACATAAGGCATGATGGCCTTCACGGGAGCTTTGCTTCCCCAGCCACAGCGAGCACCCTCCCAGGGTCAGCAGTCTGGAATGGGAGGAATGAAAGGAAAGCCTCCTGGACCAGTGGACATCAGGGCTGCCAAGGAACGAGGAGGCTGGCAATCAGAAATACTAGTCATCAGTGACCCCAGTGACCAGAGATGATGATGATTAGGGTCAAAAGGAGTCATTGATCAGGGACATCTGACTAGAGTGACTTGTCATTAGAGACAGTGGAGTCATCGGCATGTGATATTGTTCAAACACTTGATCAGAGAGGGTAGTGGTCACACACTGAGGATCAGGAGGCAGTGCTCAGAGATCTTGTGATCAGAAGACCATTGATTAGATGTATCATTAATCATTGATCAGGGACATGGGGGACTGAGGATGTGGGCAACAGGAGCATTAGTGATGAAAGCATTTGGTGCCCTGATGACCAAGAGTAGAAGAAGTATTGGTAATCAGATTCAATGACTGGAGACATCCAGAGATCTTGGTGGTATGTGATCTACTGGGGACCAAAGGCATCAACGATTAGAGAATTTGGTGATCAGAGACACAGGTGATTGGTGATACCAATGACCAGGGAGGTTGGTGACCAGTGCTACACGTGATCAGGGGTATAAAGGGACATTGGTCATCAGGGACTTGGAAGATAAGAAGATTCAGGAATTACTGTTGTTGGACACTAGAGAGCTTGGGGATCCGAGTTGAGCAGTCAGGGATATTGGTAACCAGAGTCACTGGTGACCACATTGATAGTCCGAAAATTTGTCAGTAAGAGGATTCCATGATCAGGGACATCGGTCATCAGGCACATTGTTGGTTAGAGATGTTGGTGATTGGAAACAACTGACCAAGGACATTGTTAAGGACACTGGTGATAAGAAATAGTATGATTGGAGATGTTGTAGATCACATATGAGTGATCAGATCTATCATTGATTAGAAAAACATTGATCAATGACATTGGTGATTATACTTCTTGATGACCTATGACACTAGTGACAGGGTGCAGTGATGATCAACACATTGGTAACCAGGACCACGGGTGATAAGAGGCACTGGTGATCACAGACATGGTGAATAGAAATATTGGGGAAAGAGACAATGGTCTTCAGAGATGTTGGCAACCAGACACATTGAACAGAAATATTGGTGAACAGATATGCTGACAAGGAACATTGGTGATAAGAGATATTCATGATCGGATGTTATTGGTGAGCAAGGACAGTTACTGGAGACATTGGTGATCACATTTTGTGGATGTCAGTGATCAGACAACACATCACTGATCAGAGGCATTGATGAAATATTGGTGATTAAGTGCTGGTGATCAGTTGTTAGTAATTGGATGTCTAGAGTCATAGGCTCTGGTGGTCAGACATGTCGCTGATCATGAAATATCAGTCATGCTATCTCCAATGACCAAGATTGTTGATTAAAGATGACAGCAATCAATGACATCAGCGATTAAAGACATTGGTGATCAGGTTTGTCAATGAACAGAACATTGGTGAACAGATAGCTCAGAAACAAGAGCTGATTGGCACCTGGGAGGAAGCAGACAGGGGTGGGGGTGTCAGTCTTTGTTGGGTTCTGCAAGACCCCAGTGGAGTCCTCAGGAAAAGGATCAGCATGTGGACCAATGGCTGCAGAAACCATGGCCTCCCTGAGCCTCTCCAGTATCCACCCAGCCACTGAGACCCCCAGTTGGGTGATAATGAGGAAATTCAGATGGAAGCAATTCAGAGGAATGTCAGGCTCTCAGACCCAGCCAGACAGGGCTCCATCCCCGATTCCAGGAGCCCTTCCCTCCAAATCAAAGGGCAGTAGGAGCAGTTCGGTCTGGGTCTGACTGCTGATCTCTGCACCTGGGACTCGGCAGCCCCAGGAGCCCACAGGACAGGCCAGAGGCATTCACAAAAAGTATTTTATTATTCTTAACAGTATTCACTTGAAAGGAATAGGAGGAGAGCATACAATTTTTACAGACAATATATAAATGTTGTACATAATTAATAACTTAGTTCACTAATCCAAAATAAAACAAGCCAAATAAAACAAAATACTGCTGATTCTTTTTCGTATGCGGATACTAGTACAAAATAAGTTACTTTTGGCTGTGGTGCCCCTGCAGCGATGGGCTGCCCATATTGCACTTGGTCAACTACATCAGCACAATCCTCTTCCTGGGCCGGGCCCTCGCCGGCCACCGCAGCCTGCCACCACCGCATACAGAATCTAAGCTCAGACACAGGTATGTACAGCTGTACCTTGGGAAGGATCCAGACAGCCACAGGAAAGGAGAGCAGAACCCATGCATCTCCCGGGACCCCAGCAGGGTCCTGGTCTTTCCCTCGGTCCTGGCTCTGACTCACGCCCAACTGCTGCCTTCTCTACCTGCCAGACCAGCCCCCAAAGCCAAGAGCAGCAAAAGCCCCTCCCCTGGCCCCCAGCTCCCCATTCTAGGGCTGTGGGATCCAAGAACTTTTCCAAAGATCACTACGAAGCTACAGCCTTGGTTTGTAGGTTTTATTCCTTTCCATAGCAAGGCCTTCCGTGGCAACATACAATTGACTGGACCCAAAAAGAGTTTAAAAATAAAACAACTAACTCATCAGCGAGTTAAGCTTATGCAGGTTGTTGGGTTTTTTAAAATATTTTTTTCTTTTGTCTCAGAGTAGGAGGCGAGGGGGTTGAGGGGTTAGCAGAAAAAGGATGTATGTACAGGGGGTCCACCTGGCAGAGGAGGCAGGCTGTGGCTCCGGCTGTTAAGGAGATGCAGGTCACAGCAGCTTCGGCCTCAGAGCCAAGGGAGCGAGCTGGGAGACGTTTCCCCTCTCAAGAAACGTTGTTTCCTTCCTGTGACCCAGCCCTGGCCTGGGAATCTGCGCAGGACCGCCTGTGATTGTCTCTGCCCTCCAGGGCCCGGCCGCCAGGGCACACACTCTCTGGGTTGGCTCAGCCCAGCCTGGGGTTCAGCCTTTCTGAGAGCGAAGCCAGAGGAGAAGGTGCAGGCTGTGGTCCCTGCAGGCCTGCCCCAGAGCCCTGGCAAGCGGGTGGGCCAAGTGGCACATGGCGCCCAGGAAGACCAGGAGAACTTGGGGCATCTCAGACCTCCAAGTCTCCCAGTCTTTGTTAGAAACAAGAGCAAAATAAATTATTTTTGCCAATCCTTTTCCTCCTAAAAACAGGATCCTTCATTTGTCCCCTGCCCCCTCCGTTTTTCTTCATCAAGTTGTCCTTTCTGCTCTCCAAACAATTGTTTGTGATGGAAACCCCACCTGGGCAGCAGCCGGGCCACAGCCACCTCCTAGCCCTGGTGAGAATCTTCACAGTGACTGCTGACGGCCACAGACAGCGCCCACAGGCGAGGCCACGTGGGGCTCCACTGGGTTGGCAGGAGTTGCATCAGTCTTCAGGGAAGGGCGGGCAGCTAAGGGTTTGGCCCATCCGTCCCGGGAGCACCCAGCCTCGCACTGCCGGCCGCCCTCCTTGGCGTCCATCTGTCCACTCGTTGGGGGCTGTCCCTAGCCCATGGCGGTCACCATGCTGGATGGGTGGGGGTGGCCGAAGGGGAGGCTGGAGGAGGGGTGGATGGGTGTCGGGGTGGGCAAGATGTGTCCCGAATGGCTGAAGGGCGGGAGGTGGCCCACGGGTGCCATGTGCCCGGCCAGGGCGGCCGCACTGAAGGGGGAGGCCTTGTCCTGCATACACTTGGACAGCTCCTCGAAGCACTCGGTCCCTTTCTTGCTCTTCTTGGACTTGTTGGACATCTTCCGGTTCCGGGTCTGGATCCCTTCCTTCTTCATGGTCAGTGGCCTGTTCACCTGGGGCAACCACAAAGCCTTCAGGGGGCTGAGTTCCCTTCCCAGAGCAAGACCCCCACCCCCAGCTTCGGCAGGGGGCAGAGGCAGGTCCAGGCCAGGGGCTCCACTTCCAGATGCCCACCACCCAGCGCAGGCCTCTCGCCAGCACTCTGGCCACTTCAAGAAGGCACTTCTCACTGGGTGGGACTGACGTGCTCCCTGCTTGGCGATGAGCCCACTACGTACCAACACCGCCCCCCATCGACACAACCAAAATACGCCCCTTCCCCAGACTTGTTTTCTACAGAGAGACCACTTCCCTAGATCTGCTGGACCCTGCTGTGGGGGCAGACTTCCAGGCAGCTTGCCCCCTCTTATGGGAAGCCCTTCTGGCGCTGGAGCCTGCCCCGCCGGGCGGCAGCAGCTTCCCAAGCCAAGCCACGCTGGAGAGGGCGGCTGGGGCCTTGCCTGGCAGCACAAAGAGCAGCGTCCCCGGGGAGGGGTGGGGCAGGCCGGGCGGGCCGACTCACATTGTGCAGCTTGTAGTAGAGGCCACAGGCGTTGCAGACAGGGTCCCCGTTGGCGTTTCGGCGCCATAAGGTGGTGGTTGTCGTCTGACAATTTGCACAACAGGTGCCCGCTCTCCTGGCGGCTGACTGGGAGGGGAGGGCGGTGTCAGCAGGCAGGGATCCCACGCCCTGCCTCGCCCTCCCTTCCCCCTGGCCCCACCAATTTAACCCAGGAGCGTAGAGCTCACAGGGCAATCAAGGGAGCCCGGGGCCGCGGCACTGGAAAATTCGACACTAAACACTCGCAGCGCTTTAAAGGAAAGAACTCGCAGAAGCCTGCTCTCAGAACCTGCAGGGTTGCAGGAGTTGGAAGAAGAAGTTAGCTGCCTCCCCCAACCGCCAGACAATCCTACTCCAGAGATGGGGAAACTGAGGCCCCAGAAGACTCTTTGGTTTAGAAGGCCGCTAGGTCCTCCTGAATCCCCGAGTCTGGTGCTGCATTCCCACACGGCTCCCCTCAAAATCCATTATCCTGGGTGTGTCAGCGTCCCTGAGGCCGGAGGAGAGAGACCCTGTAGCTGCCCAGGGCAGGGTGTAAAACGTTTAGGGAATCAGAGCCATGTTGTCCGTACAAAAGCCACCAGCCACAGGGGCTATTTAGATTAAATTGAACCACAATTTAATAAAATTAGACGTTCAGTTCCTTCAACTGCACTAACCACATTTCAAGGGATCAGCACTCACAACCTGGGCTGGAGGCTGCCACAGCGGACTGTGCAGATCTGGAACATTTCCATCAATGCTGGAAATGCACCCTGTACCCCAAACCTCAAGAGTTCTAACTGGCCCCCAGCCCCTCAGGGAATGCAGGGCAGAAATGAGTGTCTAGTTTCTGAAGAAGGGGGGCTGAAGGCTCCTAAAAGGAGAAGGAGAGAGACTCTTTATCCAAGAAAGCAGATCCCCTCTCCTGGGTTCTCCGGCGCCAGCACCACAGTAACAGAACGAGTGCCCCAACACTTCCCAGAGAATCACAGGCTGCAGAGGTTGGGGTGGGGGGCCGAGGCAAGCAGAGGCTGGAATGGCCCCAGGCCCGAGCCCGGTCGGTCACAGAGGGGCTGGCCAGACTGTAGCCATGGGGGCGGGGAAGGGTGAGGGTGAGTAAGCAGCCTGAAGCTGGAATTCTGACTCAGGGGCCAACACCGTATCCTCTACCCCCACCCCCGCCCAGGCCCTCACCCTGCCCTCCCTCCAGGAAAAAAAAAGGGGGCCCCCAAAGCAGTGAGCGATTTAAGCCTCGTAAATCACTTTGCCCTGAAAAAATATATTTATTATTCTTAGCATTTTACGCATTATTTGCTAAGTGGAGGGTATTAGAAATTTCAAAACAGCCCAGCGAGAGGCAGGACTGAGCCGAGGAGAGACTCTAAAAACTCTCGGAGTCCGGAAACAGATACACGAAGTTTCCTTATCTTCAGGCTGCAGATGTCCGGATAGGAAACTCCGGCAGGAGATCCGAAAGGGCATTTTTTTTAAATCACTCAAATGAAAATACACAGTATAGGTGACTCCATGGAAAAATAATAAAGGACAGGTTTTTTTGGTGGTTGGGGTGAGTGTGTGTTTTATTTAAATAAGCATGAGAGGATTGTGTGTTGGGAAGAGAGAGAGAGCTGCCCTGAGCTACAAGGAAAATTACTTCATGGCCCTATTTTTAAAAAGAGCTAAATGGAGGCCAGGGGACAGGAGTTGGGCCCTTGAACATTCAACTTTGGGGACCTCTGAGCGGGGCGGGGGGAGGGGGAAGGGGGGTGAGGGCACCTGGTGGGCTGCAGAGGGGGACATCTGGCCTGAAAGAAGGGTAACCCCAACTGACATCCAAGTGATTTTAATGATAAAAGACGATTTCAAGTGGCGAAGCAACTGCATTTGACGAGTTTTGTTGTTACTATTATTATTTTTTAAATTATCTGTCTGCTCCTGCCCAGGTTAGCGTCCCCTGGGTGCTGCCCAGTGGCCCCTTCCCGGCCACCTGCGGCCCTGTGCCGCCCAGCGCCCGCTGCCTACCAGTCTCCGCTTGGGCTTGATCAGCGGCCGGTTCTGCCCGTTCATCTTGTGGTAGAGCCCGCAGGCATTGCACAGGTAGTGGCCAGTGCCGTCTCGCCGCCAGAGAGGGGTGGCTGTGGCCCCACAGTTGACACACTCCCGGCCTTCTGAATGGGGACAGGGAGAGACACCAGGCCTGCTTAACTGACAAGGTCATGGGAGGGAGCCAGGGGCGGGCGAGGGGAGAACTGGGGCTGGGCGCGCGCAGATGGGCAGCACTCTACCTCGGCCGGGCTGCTTCGGCGGGGGTGACTTTTAGTTCCAGTCTGGGCAGGAAAAGGAACCCCAGGGGTCTCCCCCACAGGAGGGGGGCATCTAGAGAATAGTTTAAGGCCAAATCTCTCTCTTTAAAATCCTCTTGAAGGAAGGGAAACGGGGCAGGAGGGAGAAGTGGGGCCAGGCTCCAGAAACGAGGGAAGGGTACTGACAGCAAACTTTGCCGGCGGTGCGGTGGGGGCAGGAGCCCTCCAGCATGACCTGGCTGGGTACGGGAGGACTCAGGCCCCCTCTCTACTTCCCTCTCTCCTCTTTTGTGTCTCTCCTTTCTCCTCTACTGCGTCTGCCATCTCCCCAGTCTCTGCTCCACGTTCTATGCCCTCAGCCCCTTCCCTGTCTTTCTGCTCTCAGTCCGGGGTAATTTCCTTCTTTCTCCTCAACTTCCTCTCTCCTGCTGAGGCCCTAGAATTCAGTCCTGAATTCAGATCGAAGGTGTCTTTCTCTAAAATAAAATAAATAATAAGCCCTTTCGTTTTTAAGCTAAATAGACTAAGTGACCTTGGTCTTTTGTTGTTGTTGTTGGTTTTTGTTTTTTGTTGTTGTTGCTGTTCAAAGATCATCTGAAATTCAAATAGAACGTAAAACAAACTTGGGAGAAAGGACTAATTAAAGCAAGCTAGCTGCACAAGGCAGAACGGGGCCCTGAGGGGGACGGAGATGGGTGCCAGTGGCAGCGGCAGCGACCAAGCCGGACGGCTGCCTTAGCATCGTGTTATCCAGGAAAATTTTCCCCATTTAGTTTAAACTACATCGTTGATATATACAGGCAAGAAAAGTTAATTCCTGGACTTAGGAGTAAAAGTTTGTAAAGTCTTTCTCTGCCTCAGCTTAAAGAGGTTGGGAAGGAGGCGCTGACAGCAGGAGCTCCGCACCTGCCACGGTTTCTGCTCTACGGCCAGATCCTTGGGCAGCCAAACCCTGCGGCAAAGGCAGAGGCACCTACGGTTCCAGCGTTCCTTCTGGCCTCCAAGGTGGGAGAGGGCAGGATGTGCCTGGGGGCAGGGAGCGGGAACAGGTCCTGGTAATTTTTCTTTGGGGGAAATCCCCCAAGGAGATCAGCAGCCATCGAAATCCCAAGATTGGACTGACGGAGTTGGAGAACCAGATTCCTTAAGGGTCTGGAGCCTCTGGAGTGTACCCACAGCACGCACACAAGCTCACAGACACTCGTACACACACGTACACATGGCCTCGCTGCTCTCACCTGCATGCTGCATTTTCTCACATACTAAGTCCTGAGACTGCTAGAATTTTCACTTAAGGTTCAGGGAAGGGAAGGGGGATTTCCCATTCCGTGTTCTAGTCAGGCACTAGCCAACCTGGGAGGGGAGGGTCAAGAGTGGGGAAGGGAAATGAACTTTGGGGGCCACCAGGAACACTTAAGAAAAGAGCAGAAATTTTATGCTCCCCTATTCCTCATTCTGGGGTCTCAAACATCTCTTGGGGGCTATCAGAAAGGGACGCCACCCATCCCCAGATCTGAGAGACTGACACTGCCCCTCTGCCACCTCACAGCCTGTCTCCTCCTCCCCGAAAGCACAAGCATCCCCAGTTCCACTAGGTCCCTGGCGCCTGCCTTTACCTGAGCAGGAGCGCGCCTTGCTGCGCTGCTTAGGGGTGAAGCTGGAGGCAGGGCCACCCAGGAAGCCTCCGGGATGGAAGAGCCCGCTGCTGTAGTCGTGGGCCGCGGCCGGCACATAGGAGGGGTAGGTGGGGATGGGGTGGTGTGTGGCAGGCTGAGTGCTCACAGCAGCCAGGCCCGGGCGCAGGGGACTGCCGCCTTCCAGCTTCATGCTCTCTGGCAGCGACACCTGGTACTTGACGCCATCCTTGTCCTCTCCCCGAGCGGCACTACCCCCTGCGGAAGAGGAGGCTGGGGAGGCAGCCCCCGCAGCGCTGGGGTCAGGAGACACTTCCTTGGGCGGGGTGGGTGGGAAGCCAAAGAGGTGGGAGCCAGAGTGGGCTGCAGTGGGAGTGAGGGAGGCCACAGAGCTCCCGCTGCCTCCCCCACTCGCACTCGCCGCCCCTGGGTACACGGAGAGGGGGCCTCCGGGGCCTCCAGCAGCTGAGGGGTGCAGCGGTGTCTTGGAGAAGGGGCTCACGGTCCAGGGGTTGTGGTGGTGTGCTGCCGCCGCGGAGAGGGCTGCTTTACCCCCGTCCAGCCAGGGCAACCCCGGGCTGTGCAACAAGTGTGGGCGGCACATCTGGCCTCCGGTCAGGCGAGCTGCGGGAAAAGAGAGAGGGGTCAGGGTGCGCTGTGGCTGGGCGGAGCCAGTACACGGATACACAGGACCACAACTCACAAAGCACCCAGCAGTAGCCCCCTCCCCAAAGAAAACCAGAAACTTAACACCCCAACCGGCAATAATCAGGAATGCCAGTCCGGAGTTGAAGAACAAGTGGCACAGAAAGAACCCCACTGGACAGGGCCTGGAGGAAACCCCTACAGGCGAGCTGGAAGTGGGCAGAAACCCCACCGGGCCCAGACCCTCCCCAAGAGGCCGCTGCCCCCACCTTTCCCGCCCCGATTTCTCAGCTGCTCCGATTCCTGCGGATCTTACATCCGGGAAGCAGGCGGCCGGGCCCTTCCCTCCCGCGCCTGGCGCGCAGCGCCTGGGCTTCCAGTCACCCACGGGCCCTGGGCTCACCGTGCGCGGGGCTGTAGGAGACGCGCGCCCGCGCGTGGGCCGGATTGGCGTAGTAGGGGGTGCCCTGCGAGTCAAGGTGGTTGAAAAAGACATCCACCTCGTCGGGGGGCAGCAGCTGCGCGGGCTCCATGTAGTTGTGCGCCAGGCCCGGGTGGTGCGAGTCGGGGTGCTGCGCATTCAGCACGGCGGGGTGCGCCATCCAGCGCGGCTGCTCGGGCGCCACCTCCATGGCCGGCGGAGGTTCGGGATCTGGGCGGAGGAGGCGGCGGCGTCCCTGCGCCACGAAAGGGGGCGTGAGGGCCGCAGCCACAGCCCGACACCCCCGAAGCCCCGCCACGCGGCGTTCCGCTCGCCGCCGTGCCCCAGCCGAGGTCAGCCACGGACCAGTCCCGGGTGGGAGGAAAGCTCAAAGCTCAAAACGAAAGAAAGGCGGAGGAGAGGGTTCAGCCACGCAAACTCACATGGTGACTCCCAATCCCAAAGCCACACAGTCGTGCACTCGGGGTCATACACAGAGACGAGCCCTGACACCAGTTAGCCCAACAAAAGCACACCGAGTCGCACTTTAGTCAGACACTCACACTAAACCCCCACCTTTCCAATACACAAACACGTAAACACAGACTAAAAGTTGGAGACAGGCCCCTAGGCACCCACTGGAGCACATGATTCTAGCCACACGCACACACCTACCCTTGGCGCCGAATACACATACTGACCCCCCGCCCCCCAACAGGCACACGCAGCCCCGTCTGAATGCCAGTCCCCCGCGCGCACTCCCAGGAGGCACAATCAGGACCTCTCACCAAGGCACACCAAAGCAGTCACCCGCAGCCTGGGCCCGGCCTTGAGCCCTGCAGAGGCTTCTCAGAGCTTGGCGCGCCCCAGGCCCCCGGCCAGCTCTCGCACCCCAAACTTACACACGCAACGCTGCGGGGAGACGGGGCGCGGCCTCAGAGTTGGGGCAGCACCGGTGGGAGCCCCGGGGGTGGTGGGCTCAGGGACGGCGCGTCAGGCGGCAGACGGGGCTCACAGGGTAGGAGCGGGGGGCAGCGCGCGCCTCGGCCTCAGGCCCGCCCGGCTCCGGCCCCTCGGCATCCTCCGGCCGCCCTGGCGCCAGCTCGCGACTCCTGCACAGACATGAAGCGGGGGCCGCGCACGCCTAAGAAGCCCGCGCCAGCCAATCAGCGCCGCGCACCGCCCAGCCTCCGCCCCCCATTGGTTGCGCCCGCAACTCCCGGGCCGCTGCACGCCCGGACTGACCCGCGGGCCTGCCCCCCTCCGCCGGCGGGCCCCCTCCCAGCGCCCTCTTGGCGGCCCCTGCTGCCAACGCGCCCTCTGGACCCTCACCCTGCAGGCCGACTGCTGCGCGCCCCCTTTGCGGACACTCCCGGATCCCCCTAACCTCTGGGCCCTCCTCCCAGTAACTAATCTGCAACTGGCGCATCCTCCCCCGGAGCTCGGGCCGCGCACCCTGTGGGTGTCTGGGTGTCCTCTCCCCGGGACCCCAGCCCTTCCATTCTCTCGGACCCCACCTCCTTTACCGCTGAACGTTGCCAGCCGAGTCCGACTACTACCCAGACCGTTCCCTCCCCCGACTCGGGCGCTGGCCGGGCGGGGGTTTAGGAGGCCAGCTACGGGACAGCAGGAGCGGTGAGCGGCGGGAACTGCGCGGCCCCAGGGGGCACCTGGGCCTCGGACTGAGCTTGACCGGGTGGAGGTGGCCTGGCTGGTGGCTCCAGAGAGGGGGAGGGGGCATCCCCTTCCCGGGCGTGGCATTCGCAGACCAACGGGCCGAACTGCCTGGGGCGAGGCCGTGGAGACCCGGACTGGCGCCGGCGCCGGCTCGAAGGAGACGCCTCCGGGCAGGAGGAGGCATTTTTTTCCTCCCGGGGGCCCCTATGGCGGCCCCTGTGGAAAGGGAGCCGGTGGTCTGAGAACTCCGTCCCCTAAGTCACCTGGAACTGCGCTCCACACACCTCCAATCCAGAGATCCAGCTCTGTGGGTCGAGTGGGCCCGGAGCACGCGTCTCCTTGCTCTCTCCCATTGCACAGACGGAGGAGACCGAGGCTCGAAGGGAGTCTATGGCCGAGGAGGGAGGGTCGGGAACAAAGAAATTGGCGGGGGACTGAGACAGGTGCGGGGTATTGGTGAGTAATCGACGTTCTCCAGCCCCTCTCTCCTCGTTGGGTCCACGGCTCTCGGGGTAGAAACCCAGAGGAATCCCAGGTGGTTCCAGGGCAGGAGGGAAGGCAGGGGTCCGGGCCACCCCCGGGAGAGTGGGGGGAGGGGCGGCGGGATTGACAGTCGGTAATTGGGTAACTGGAGGCGGCTTCTCCGGCCTGGCGGCCCCGCCACCGCGACGCCGGGCCCCTGACGTCACCCGATTCGCCAGGAAATGAACTTTTTAATAATCCGAGGAGGGAGGAAAGCCCTCGGTCCCCTCGGCTTGGGGGGCGCCCGGCCAGGCCCAGCTCCGCGGGCGCGCCCCCGTCACCCTCTCCCAAGTCAGCTCTGGGCAGCGCCAAGGAGGCGCGGGCCCCGGCCGGGGGCCTCCTCCTACCTCTGCGTCTGGCTGTCCGTTCGTCTGTCCGAGGCCCTGGCGCAGGTAAAAGTGCGCGGCCAGGGACGCAGAACCCCATCCGGCTGGGAACCGGCAAGTCTCGGGCCCTTGGGGACCCGCAGGCCCTAGCCGCCCGCTGCGCCTCCCGCCCCGCTCCTCTCTGGGGCGCGCGGGTCCCGGGCTTCTCAGAACTCCGCTCCGCGGGAGAGGAGGCCGGCGTCCGCCGGGTAAGGCGGGGCCGGGAGTGGGAGCGTGAGGCCGCGGGAGCCGGGCCTCGGCGGCCGGGCCGGGCAGGTGAGAGGCCTCCGTGCCTCCCGGTTCGCGCTCCCCGCAACGCGCGCCGTCTGGCCCGGACCCGCTGCCTCTCCGTACGTCTGTCTCTCCTCCCTGCCTTTAGCTTACGATTCTTCATCAGGGAGTAAAATGCAGTTGCCGCGAAGCCTCGAGCCTGTTTCGGGTCCCCGGAGCCTAGCGGGAGTTTCTCAAAGACACCGCGGCCCGGGAACAATCCCCCATGTCCGGCAAGGCTGCCCCGCTTGAACTCGAACTCCGGGACCCAGCGCGGGAAGCCGCCGGAGCGAAGCGGAAGCTTCCCGCGGCTCCGAGATCCGCGCCTCGGCTGGCTGGGAGGCAGCCGCTTCGAGCCCTTGAGAAAGCAGGTAATTCGCCTTTTTCCCCCAAAGATGCGGCCCAAATTACCCCCGTTCTGGGTGGGTCTGCAGTTTCATCACCGCGAGCTCGTCTTCAAGCTTCTCTGAGGCAGCCTGAAGCCCCTCTGGGGCAGCGTCCTGGCCACCGCAGGGGTGGAAGTGACCCCGCAGGGGTGGAAGTGACCAGCCCAGCCGGGCCCCCTGCCCGAACGGCAGCCCTGCGCTGGCCGCCGGCCTGGCGCAGAACGGAGCGCGGGCAGGGATTTAATTACCCCGCTCGGCGGCTCAGAAAATCTTCGCGCAGAGGAGCTTAGCAGGGCAGTTAAGCAATGCGTGAGCAGGGACCTCGGGAGACTCGCACCAGCCTCCCTTCCCGAAATCCAGGCCTAGAGAAAAAAAGGGAAAGGGGAGCCCTGCCTGGTGTCTTGAGGCCCTGGGGTTGCCTTCCTCGAAAAGGCAGGCAGGCAGCCGGCTTGGCCGAGGCCTCTGCGTTGATTGGAACTCATGCGTTGGACGCGGGACTGACGCGTTCTCCCGCAGGAACGAACCCGCCTGGGAGAGAAAAGCGGGGCACCAGGCAGCAGGGCGCCCAGCTGGCCAGTGAAGCCCCCTCCCCTCGTGAGTGTACGGGTACGCCAGGCAGACCCAGGGACAGTAGCCAGGCGCCTGGCCCACTAGGCGCCAGAGACCATCCTATCACTTCTGCCCAAAGGTCCGGGGAGGGTCAGGGCAGCCCCCAGGACCTGCTGGGGTCGCAAGGGGGGGCCATGCTTGGGTCTGAGGAGAGCAGATTTATTTGTTTACGGCCTTGGACTTTGGGGTCTCCAGAACCTCTCTGGAGGGACACGATTGCTTTTTCACTTTTTGTTCATTCCCAAGGGTTGTTGCAAAGGCAGGTTGCTGCCTTTTGATCCCACTAAGAAGCTGTCACTTCCCTTACATGGGAACAAGATTTCACGAAGGACTGGGGAAGGGCAGCAGCGAAACTGAATTTTCTAATGGCCTTTTTCAAGTGACCCGGGATTCTCCAGCGGGGCGTGGTTGGTGCCGCTGGGGTGCTTGTGCCCAGGAGCTGGGGGCCGGGATCGGAAGCCCAGTTCTAGAGGGCCTCACCCGCCTGGGCCGGGGTTCTTAGCTGCCCAGTCTTCCGGGTCCCACATAGCCCTCCTGTGGCGCCCTTTGTTTAAACTTCGCTCATTCGAGGTGGCCCCTCTGGGACCATAAGTTTGCCCTCTTTGTAACGTAATTCTTCTTGCCTTTTCCTATGGGCATCTAATTGGCCGGCAGTGTGTGTGTTGGGGGGGGTGGTTGTCAAAGAAATCTCTTTGCTTAGGGGCTGCCTTAATTTGCAACCCAACAGCCTCCCTGCCTCATACTGGCAGTGTGCCTTGAGGGGTACTGAGGAGGAAGTGGGGGCAGCTTTAGCCAGAGGAGTTCAGAAGTCCCCTGTAGGGCAAGGCCTCAGATCTGCTCAGGGGCAGCCATCCCTCCAGAGGGGTTCCCCAATGTGGGGACCAGGGTTCCAACAGCCTCTCCTGCTCTTTGGGGTTCACTTTCAGCCCTCCAAATCTAAAGTTTCCCTCTCCTCTGGCCTCCATGCTGGCTCTCCCACCCCATAAGTCTCCTGGGCCTTTTTGAATCGTAAAGACCGGGGCCCAACGACCTAGATGTCTCAGAGCCCTGGATCAAGGCACCTCGGAGATCCTGTATCTCCTTACCAGGTTCTAACTCCCACCTCCAAGCCGGACAGCCTCCCCCAGGAGCCCTGCTGAGACCTGCAATCAGATGGCGTTTCTCCCTCCTCCATGAACCAGCACCGTTTACTCAGAGCGCCCAGCGGCCCAGCGGCATGACAACTGGTAAACCCATTTCGTTAGATGCAATTTGTTTGCAATTTGTCAACCCGACTGGGAAACGCTCTCCAGACGCCTGGGCAGCTGCACTGGCCCTACCTGCTTCTCAAATCCTGCCTGCTCATAAACGAATCCCAGTGCCAGGTGCCTGTGTAGACCCGGAGCTCACTTCCAGATGTTCCCGACCCTGGGAGACTTTTTCCAAAACAACGAATTTCCTTCCGTGTTTTCCGGGAAAGGAGCGGCTGCCACACCCGGGGGCTCTGAACGCCAGACCTTTCCCCTCGTGGTTGGGGCAACCTAGAGTTCAAGCCTGGCCGCCGCCAAAAGATTCTAAATACCCGGCGTCCAGACAGACCCAGACCGCCATCTACGCCTCCCGGCAGCAGATCCCCGAGCCCGAGGCGGCCCCATTCTTATTGAAATCGCACTAAATGGATTCCGACTCCGGCTTGCGGCAGGCGGGAGACTTTCAGCCCCGGCTCTCTCCCTCACACGCACCCCAGCCACGCAGTATAAAGGGCTGCGGGGCGCGGCGCGCCAGGGCGCACGCAGGAGCGAGCCGGGTTAAGCCGCGCAAAGCCGCCGCACGGGACCAGCCGGCAGGTGCAGCCGCAGCTCGGAGGCCCGGATCGGGCACATCCGCCGCCACGGCCCGGAGGTGGGGGGCAGCCGAGACAAAGACCCCAGCTCGGGGCCGGGATAAGGGGCCTTTGCGAGGCTCTGTGAATGACCGGGCCTCGCGGCCTATGGCTCTGTCGAGAAATGGGAAGGAGGGAGGCCGGAGGCCGGCCTGCTGTCCCCAGCTCCCCAAATACTCCGTCAGGTTGAGGCCCTTATGACCTGAGGTTCCAGACGCTGGTAGGGCCGGGGCGAGCCCCGAAGGCCACATGTCAGGGGCCACTGGGCCAGCAGACGGTGCGATTAGAGTGCCGGGTGGGCCGAGCCTGGGGGAAGGGCCCTGGCCAGGCAGAGAGGGGAGACCTTACCGAGCGAGGTGCGGCGGGCGGCGCCCCCGGGCGGACGGGGCTGGAGCCGAGCGGGGCTCACAGCGCGGTTCGTGGCGAGGCGGGCCCACAGGACCACGGGGCGGGCTAGCAGCAGGGCCCGGGCGGCGCTCCGGGCGGCCGCTTGGTGCGCGGCGGGCCGCTTTTGTTCGCCCGGTGGCCGACGGGGGCCGGTTGGGGTGGGGGTGACAGCAGCCAAGAGATAGAGACGCCAGCGGCGAGCCCCGGTGGCCTCACTACCTCCTTCTCGCGCCCGCTGCCTCTCTCTCTCCCTCGCGGCCGCAGCGGCCGCTGGTTTTTATTTCGACAGCACTTTGAGGGGCGGGAGCGCCGCAGGGGGCAGGAGGATGCCCGGGGCTCTGCGCCCCGTCTCCCTGGTCCAGCAGCCCTGCGGCGGCCGAGGGCGGCAGGCACTCAGGGCGCACACACTCTGCTTGCCCATACTCCGAACCACTCCCGCCCTCGCAGGGGCGCACATATGCGCACCCCTGCTCTCAGGGATGCACGCTCAGCAAGCTCCGGACGTCTCTCTTCCAAGACTCTCCCCGGGGACCCTCACGAGCCATGGGAACAGGCGCACGTACACAGACCCCTGCTCCTCCTTCTCTAACCCGTTTCTAGTAGTGCTCGCACGGACACGCACACATCTGTACACACGCGTTAGCACACATTCTCAGACAGGAGATCTGGGTCGCACGGATATGCACACGTGCAGACACTCAAATATTGCTTGACACTCCGGCACACTCTCCCACTTCCAGGCTGATTTGGCTAAGTGTAGACACATTCGCTCTCTCTTCCCCACCTATACCCCCCTCAATTCTGCAACTCCGGAGCATTTTAGGAGTGGAGTTTGAGGCACCTCCCTGGCCCATCCCAGAAGAACCCTCCACAGGAGGGAGCCAGGAAGGGAGTAGAGGGCTTGTCCTTGGAAGGCTGGGTGGTGGAGGAGCTGGGGTGTGGGTCTTCACCTCAAGACAGCACTTGGGTTTGTGAGCTAGGAGAGTCTAGTCTTTGAATTTCCCAAGTCCCTACCATGAAATTCAACCCCGCAGTGGGGTCCTCCTGAGTTCCATTCCAGCTGCCCAGGGAGAGTGAAAGTGGCCTGGATCTTGGGCCCAAAGAGAAGGTGCTTTGCCTTAGAAGGACTGGGAAGGCTGTGGCCCTCGGAGAACTAGAGTGTGCCCAGGTATACCACAGAGGGGTGTGTTCGGCTCCCCATCTCTGTGGGCACATGCTGTCTGTGGGTCTTTCTTTGAAGCTGGTGGTGACTGCGTTGCATGTGCATGTGCTCTGTGCAATAAGCAAGGGTGTGGGTGTGCATGCACTGTCCTGAGTGCCCATGTGTGTCTATGCGCATTTGTGAGCACATAGAAAGTCTGCAAAACTGAGTATATTAGTATCCCCGTTTCTTCTTGTGGGTCCTTGAGAGTTGGTGTATTGAGAATCAGTGTATTGTGGGTCCCTGAGAGTTTTGTGGGATCCCAGAGAGTTTGTGTACTGTGTGTGGCTATTTCAGAGCATGATCCCATAAGTGCATGCAGGAGAATGTATCTGCGGAACTGGATGTGTGTCCCTGTGGCTGCATATCTGTGAGATCATTGTGCCCATGAATCATGTGATGGGAAGTGGGTATTTCCAAGAGTTTGTCTATAAATTGGTGTGTGCCCCTGCACAGGTTGGTAGCAGTGTGTGTCTATGATTTGGGGTGTGTGTCCATGTGTCTGTGTGTGTCTGTCTTTAACACCATGGGTACAGGTGTGTATCTTTGAACTGATGCTGAGGACGAAGAGTGTATCTGAGTGTGTCTGCATATCTGTGTATCGCTCTATGTTTGGACTGGATGTGTGTTGGGGAGGGTGTCTGTGTCTGTGTATCTGAGATGTGCACATCTGTGTGTATGAATGTATCTTTGAACTATGTGTGTTTCTCTACCCAGTGTTACCTTGTGTCTGTGGTCTGTGGAGGAGGGTGTCCCTGGGTGACACACAGTATGTGTGTCTTCCCAGATTGCCCGCCATCCACACCTTCCCTAACTGGGATGGCAGGCGGCCAGTGGAGCTCCAGGGTGCCATTTGCGAGGGCACTTTCTGTCTGTCTGTGGGAGGGGGAGATGAGCTGATAAGGCTTATCTGCCAACGCCAGCGCCATGCTGAATAACTGCTCTAATGAGGTGGCCTCGGGGGGGGGGGGCCACCCGCTCCCAAGGTCCCCAGCCTCTTTGGGGGCGGGGCATGGGGGAGCCAGTCCTGGGGCACAGGAGCAAACCCCCATGAACCCAGGGGGCCTGAGTGTCTACAGGGCCTTTTCTAGTTCTATCTTGTTTCCTCAGAGGAGGGTTCCAGGTCTTACACCCCTCACCACCCCCACCCCCATCTCCCTGCTGGGCTGAGCCAGCTAGAGCTGGCTGGAGTCTCCCAGCCTCTGGTCTGTGGTCAGGAACATGCCTTGAGAGGGCAGGAGATGTGAGACCTGGAGATGTGGGGCCCTCTAGGGTGGGAGTGCATTGAGAGATGTGGAGGCCCAGTAATGGAAAGACCCAGAGAGACAGGGAGGGGGGACAAGATAGGGAGACCCAAGGACAGATTTTAAAAAATGACAGCGATAGAGGGTCAGAGACACTGGTGGGGAGTGGAGGGGTGGGCTAGGGACACTCAGGGACAGACAGAAACAAAACAACTAAAAAGTGGCTAGAGAAAGGGTCAGAGAGATGGGAACAAAAGCATCGAAAGTGTTACCCAGAGAGAGACATGGACAGAGAGACAAGAGGCAGACACAGAGAGGAGTGGAGAGTGAAGCAAGACAAAAATAGAGAGATGGGATGAGAGAGGAGAACGCCGCAAAACTCAGAGAGCCATGGAGAGGGGAGGAGGGAGAGAGGAGAAAGGGCCCCAGAGAGAACCAGGCAAAAGGGGGGACACGAAAGATGGGCTGGGAGGGATGAACAGACTGAGAGAGAGAGACAGCCAGGGGCTCGGCACTGCCGGGCGCCAACGAGAGCACGGGAGACCGAGCGCCAGGCCACGGGGCCCGGCGGGGCACCGAGGCGCAGGCGGCGGCGGCGGCGGCGGCGGCGGAGGCGGGCAGGGGGATCCGTGTGGGGCTGCGCCGCTGTCCGGGGTAATTTTTCATCTCGGCCGGCTAATCTTTGTTCCCGGCGAAGATAATGAATAGCCAATCGTTATCTTCCCGGCTCCCGGAGGCTGCCCGAGAATGGGGTTGTACAGGGCTGGGAATTGTTTCCAAAGTGCCGCGGAATAAATGGTGTTCCTTATCTCTGCCTTCCAGATTATCGGAGCCCTTTCACAGTGCGCACAACAAATGCGCCCGCCATCGAATGCATCATTTACCACCGCAGATCTGCGCGCTGATGGGCAGGCAGATAGCCGTCCGCGTGGGGCATATCGGGCGCCCGGTGCCCGCGCTGCCTGCCTGCCTGCCTGTACGGGGCACCCGAGTGTGCGCCCCCCGGGTGTGCCCGGCGTGTTTGGATGGACATGCGGGTGTGCCAGTGGATGGTCACTGAACAAGCAAGGGTTTTGGTGTGCATGCAGGTATGTCAAACAAGTGTGCTACAAGAAAGTGCACTTGTGCAAGCCCATGCGCACACGCGTGGCAGGCGTGTGCACTGTGAGTGCCTGGAGACCACCGAGATGAGGCTGGTTGAGGGTGCACAGAGGAAGGGGTGATGCACGTGAATGTGTCCGCATGCATGTCACTCAGCGTGGGTAGACACGTGTGTAAAGGAGTAGGTGTGTAAATCTGTGTGTACAAGTGTGGTGGATGAGTGTATTGTGAGTGCCTCGGTGTATCTGCCCTCGATGAGGCTGTTTAGCGGTGCACACAGGAGGTGGTGTCGCCTGCCGCTAGGGCGGGTGTATATGGGCATATTCAGGCATGGGTGTTTTACTCTCCAGAGTGGTGTGCGCCTGCAGGTGTCCCCGCCTACTCAGTGTTTTGGGGGCATGCATGCTTGTAAGCATGTGCATCCACGCATGCCTGTGACTGCCAGGAGTGAGTGTGCAGGTGTCAGCGTTCACCCCAGGGTGTGCCTTGGAGTGTACACGGATCTGCATGAGGTTGGTTGTGTCTTTGTGTATCTATCTGCCCGGGTGTGCCCGGGTGCGCTGCGAGAAGGGCAAGGGGAAGGGCGGTCGTCGGGGTCTGTCCGGCGTCTGCATGTGTAGGCTCAGGACTGGACACTCGAGCAAGGCCCCCCTCCAGCTTGGGAAAGAGACAGCCAAAGGGGAGAGAACGGTGTGTGCGGGTGTGATAGACGCCACAGTGGAAGGAGTGGGATGTGCTGTGTAACATGAGTGCTTGTGACAGAAAACGGAGTGTGCGGGTCTGTAGGGGGGAGAGGTGTTCGGAGGAGTTTAGGAACACCCAGGGGTCCCAACCCTCCTCAGGGGGGCACACCCTGCCAGGGACCCAGAGCCTTCTCGTTCTGGACCTGAGCTAAGAAAGATCCGAGCCCCAACGTCTGAGGTCCATGCGCCGTTGAGTGACACGCGCCGCCGCCGACAAAGGCTTGTATTTTTCCAGGCTTGCGCCCCGCCTGCGCGCGCGCGCGCGCGCGCGATGGTCCCCATGGCGACGCAGATAGTGCTGCAGCCATTTTCCCTATCTCCCCAGAGTCTATTATACCGCGGGATTAGCTCATCTCCAGGCAGGTCAAACCCAAAGTCACACAACCTACAGCGCGGGCCTCGCCCGGCCGCCCCTCCTTCGCGTGGGTCGGGTCTGGGCCCTGAGCCCCCCGAGCGGCTGCCCATGAGCAGGTGCAGAGCGCCACCTGGCGGCCGCGGGCGTCCCGAGTGGGGTCTCTGAGAGGCCGCAGCGTGAATGGGAGTCGTCCAGGCAGAAGAGCTGGGGCAGGGGCCCCTTCCTCCAAGAGATGGGCTCTCCAGAAGCAGGGGCTTTGTTTTGTCACTGCTATGTCCCCAGGGCCAGGCTGGCACACAGTAGATGCTCCGTAAGTGTTTGTTGAAAAGATGGATGAATGGGCAGGAAATTATAGACGGGCAAACTGTCAAAGGCCATGTTGGCAACAAGAAATCACTTCTTAGAAATGTGTCCACTGAATTTAGAATAAAAGCCAGACTCCTCTGGAACCCGTGTAACAGCCCTGCTGACCGATCAGACGGGGCTTCCCCCTTTCTTGCTCCAGCCACGTGGCCTTCTTTCCGTTCTTTGAATAGGCCAGAACATTCCCACCCCAGGGAATGTGTCTTTGTATCGCTGTTCCCTCTTTGTGTCTGCTGTTCCCTCTACCCAGAGTGCATTTCACCTCTGCTCAAATGTCATTCCTTGGAGAGCGAAGTCCTCTCCTCTGCCCTGCTTTTTCTCAGTCCATACTACTTTTATAGTGCTTAGGGCTATGTAAAATCATCTTGTGTCTATTTGCCCTTTGCCGGCTCTCCTCCCCAGAATGCTAGGCTCCCTGGGGGACGGGTCTGTTCAGTTCCAGGCAGTAGCCCAGTGGCTGGAATCGTGTCTCACGGTTGGTTGGCATCAGTCACAATTTTGGGAATGAGTGAATGAGGGCCGGGAGAGCAAGACCGTGTGCCTTCCTCATTCTCATTTCTCTTTACTGCTGTTCCATTCCCCCTTCCTCCCACGTTTTGCTCTCCCTAGCCCTGGGGAGCCTGGCTCCACTGACCTGCCCCAACCTGCAAGTCCAGAGGGGCCCACGAATGAGGGAGAGAGTGCCACAAAGGCCCCACACAGCGTGCCCTTGCCGTGCCCGTGAGGGCAGGGAACAGTTCTCGCCTCACATCCTCGGGGACCGTGGACTCTCCGGGGAGTCCTGGGCCGCCAGGCCAGACTTCACTCACGATACAAGATAATTATACCAGAGTTGTCATGAGGTGGCAATGATTAATTGCTGTGGGTGGGCAGCGACAGCGGGGTGTCTAGAGCCTAGAAAAGGCCACAGTCCGAATGGCTTCCAGGGAGGAACTTGGCCTGCCCATCTCTGCGCTGGAAGGGGCTCATCAGGCACCAGGCTAAGCTTCGCCCTGCCCAGGTGGTCTTGGGACAAACTGAGATGGCCTTGCCCAGGGCCTCCGAGAATTAGTCTCCTGTTCCTTCAGGAATGCCCAGTTCCCTCCGGAAAGAGGAGGTGTGGGGTAGCTCAGGCTCTCAGGCCAGGACTCCCCTTCAGTGCGCGCGCGCGCGCGCGCGCGCACACACACACACACACACACACACACACACACACCCCTCCTGGCTGGGAGGCCTTAGGCAAGTCACTTTCCTACTCTGAGCCTCAGGTCTGCCTCTGCTAACCTCCCTCTAGGGTGCTATGGCTGTGTTTCTTTAGGCCTTCCTTCTCTGCATCCTTTTGTGTATCCTTTCCAATATCTTTATCCCTCCAGGTGCCACTTAGTAATTAATTAGTTAAATAATGAATCAAATCAGCACTTTTAAATAGTGTGCTGGGCCACACTGTTTTGGACCATGGGTATACAGTATTGAACAAAATGGCTATACTACCAATCAGACATGACTCACCACACAGATACATACATCAGAATAAATTGTGTTAGGAGCTTTGAGGGGAAAAGAACATATTTTTACAAATATTGAATCCAAGCTTGTTTGCAGAGACCAACTCTGGGCCAGGTTCTATGCTGCGAGGTGGGGGACATAGAATGAAACCAGATATGATCACTGTGTGCAAGCAACTCACAGGGTGGTGGAGGCACAGGCACATCAAAAGATTCTGTTAGTTCCAGCCTATGTGGAAGAACAGGGTGCTTGTTGGAGAAGAGGCACTTACCCTAGTCTGGGAGCAAAATATAGAAAGAGTGCCTACAAATCAATAAGAAAAAAATACCAAAGGGTATGAACAGAAAATTCATAGAAAAGGAAATAGAAATCACTCTTAAATTAATGAAAACATGCTCAATCTCATTCAGAGAAATGAAATTTTAAAACATGTTGAGATATTTGGGATGAGAGGCATGTTCTAGAATTAGATTGTGGTGATGATTGTAACTCCATAAATTTACTAAAATTCATTAAAATGTACTCTTAAAATGAATAAACTTTATGATATGTCAATTATACCACAATAAAGCTTTTTAAAAATAAATAAATTAAAAAACACTTTGAGATACCATTTTATACCTATCGGTATCAGCAAATATCAAAACATTTGATTATCTACTGCGTTCCTAAGGGAACATGTATGTTGCTGGGGGAGACAGGCTGGCAGGAGTGTCAACTGATGCACTCTTGGGGTGGGAGGGGCCACGTGACCATCAAGTTTACAAATACATTTATGCTTTGAGCCAAGAGTTCCATTTATAGGACTTTATCTGATAGTGAAATTGATAAGGAAATTCACTGCAGCCTTGAACATCATGGCAAACGACTGGAAACAAAAGATGCTATCTAGAAGAGACTGTTCAAAGTATTGTCATACAGCCAAACAGTGAAATGTTATGCTGCTGTCACACACACACACACACACACACACAAGAAAGAAAAAAAAAGGAAAAAAAGGAAGAAAGTAAAAGACAGCTCTTAATGTACAGGTATCGAATGATCCCAAGATAGAATTAGTGGAAAAATAAAGGTGCAGAAGAGTAAGCATGGCATGCTGCCATTTGATTTAAAAATAGGGATGAGAAGAGAAGATAGATACATATTTGCTTACATATTTATAGAATTCCTCTGGATGGAAAACAGAAGAAACTGTTAACAATGGTTGGCACCTACAAAAGGGCCTAGGCTTGGTGGCTGAGGATAGGGATCAGAGGAAGATGTCACTGTCTAAGCTTTGATTACTGTTAAAATCACATAGGTAGACAGATAGATACATAGAAAGATATACAGAGCTTGAGATAGAGAAAGATATACACACACATATATATCCTATACAATAAAAGATTAAAAACCAAATCACAAAAACAAAAATTTGTTTGATTAAAAAATAAAGATGGAGAAGAACTGAAGTTTGCCAAGAAGAGAAGTTGGGGAGAAAATCACTGGCTAGAACATAAGGAAACAAGAATTCTGCCCTATTGGCTGGAATGTAAATTGGTACAAGTCTTTTTGCAGAATAATTTGGTTGTATCTAGGAAAATTGAAGCTAGAAATGCCACATGACCTGGCAGTTCGTCTTCCAGGCATGTGAGAAACCCTCACACGTGAGCAAAAGAGATGTAGGCAAGTATATTCATGGGGCACTATTTGTAAAAGAACAAAATTAAAAAAGAAACTTTGAATGCAAGCTAATGGCCCATCTCGAAGGTACTGGATAAACAAACAGTGGGACGTTCTTTGGATGGAGTGCCCTGCAGCAGTTACACTGTATGCATAGACATAAGGCACACGTTGTTTTAGTCAAAGAAAGAACTGGCAGAATTTTAAACACGAAACAGTACTGTATATTCTTTATGGAAATGAAACATATGAAGTAAAAGTATAGAAACATAAATGGGATTAAATCTTCTGGAAGATTTAAAAATAAGATCTGGAAAAGAGCAAGCCATGCCATGTTCTTGGATGGAAAACTTAATACCATAAAAATATCAGTTCTCCTATATTTTCTATATAAATTTAATGTAATTCAAATTAGAATACCAACAGAGGGATTTTTTTTTTAAAGACTGGATAAAATGACCTCAAAGATTGTGTGGCAGAGTAAATGCCCAAGAATAACCAAGGAAAATTGGACAAAGAATAACATGGGGTTTTCGCCTTACCGGAAATAAGAACATACTATAAAGCCACTGTAATCAAATCAATGTGGCATTGGCAGAGAAAAAGACAATGGAAAAGAACAGAGAATCCAAAAACAGGTTCCAGTATATAGGAGAATGTAATATACGTCAAAGGTAGTATTTCAACTCAGGGCGAAAAGGGTAGATTGTGAAGTAAATGGAGCTGGCACCAGTGAACATCTGTCTGCAAGAAGATAAAATTGGACCCCTCTTGTATATCCAAATGAATTCCAGATGAATTAAAAATTTAAATGTGAAAAAGAGTAACAATCTTACAAAAACATCTCAGAGGCAACATGTGCCATCCAGACAGAGGGAATAGCATGTGCAAAGGCCAGAGGCTGAGAGGGCTCAGCACATCCTGGGAAGGGCAGAGTTCCCTGTGGCTGGGATGGAGGAGAGGCCCAGGTGTGCTGGGAGCCCCCTCAAAGCTCAGTCGTGTCCAATACCATCTTCAGAATTGTTTGCCACATCTCTTCCCCTCCTGTGCTATTTTTATTAATCTTTTTCTTTAAATGAATTCATGTCTTTATAAATCAAATTGTTTCTAAAGGTTAAATTTATATTACTGACAAAATCATGGGCTCAATGGGCTAGTTATATATTTTTGGAATCACGTGGAAATAAATGCATTGACCATTAAGATGAAAAAAAAAATGGCCTGGAATTTCCTCGGTAGATGGGTTAAACTTGCATTTTGAAAGTCAGTCTGCCACCTTATGGGCAGGAGAGACTGAA